AAAATATACAACACTCTGATGCATTAGCAATAATTTTACCGTTAAACTGCAATATAGGTATTGCAAACTGTGCCATTTGGGTGGATTTTGTTTTTGAGTGAGTACAAAAACCGCCAGTAAAAGTAGAGTCCGTGGATTCTAGGAGGCTTCGTTGTGTTTAGTTTAGTATAAGTACCTAACTTTAGGTGCCGGAGATTTGGCACGGGGCACTCCTGACCAAATGGACTGCATTTTGCAATTTGGAACTATAAATTCTGGCTCGGTTTAAAAACAACGTATGTGCCATTGGTTTCCCTATGCACATAAGTGTTTTTTCAGATGAGCCAGAATCTATAGTTCCAAATTGCAAAATGCTGTCCAAATTATTTTCAACTCGTTTGATACCTAAGTGAGTAGATTAGAGAAGGCGCTGAATTTTTTGGTGGGCGATAATCAACGGCGATAATCTCTCAAGAAAGAGCCAGAATTGTAATTATATCTCGCGCTTATATTTAATTATTAATGTATTTAAAGTATTCAGCAAAAGTGCTTTCGAGTAGAACCTTGCGTTCTTTTTCGAACGTTCAGGAATTTCGTTCGGATTTACAGGAAATGAAACCGTTGAATTATCCCACGAATTATCTGTCACAAAAGAGTGCCTAAGAGTGCCAATGCATATGACGATGCAAGAAAAGTTTTAAATCCTTCCCTCTTTTTGATAGGTAGCGGCGGCCACTTGAAATTTGCCTTTATTTTTTTCGGATAAGTGACAAATCTACCGTGGTGGACGATTAGTAAGCTTTTTGGAAAAATAAAGTTATCTCGCTGCACGCCTCGACTGAATCAATCAATGATGTGTATTTCTGTCGGTGAATACCATTCCGTTTGAAGTTATTGCCTTCAATTGCAGCGCATAGGTAACAAATCTACCAGAAAGCGCGAATTAAGCGAGTGAAACGTCTACTTACTTAAAAACCTCCCTTATATTACCCAATAAGCTTTGATTGAACTGATAAACGATGTTGTGTCCCTATTGCTAGGTATCATGCATCTAAAGTTCGCCTTCAATTTTGCCGAATAGGCAACAAACATACCAGGAAGCGCGAATAGTTATCTATTAGAAAAATACACATCTAATATTGCCCCAAGCCTTGACTCAACCGATAAACGATGTGAACATATTGGTATAGGTATCGTTCATCTACAGTTCGCCTTCGATTTTGTCGCATAGGCAACAAACATTCCGGAGAGCGCGAATAGTTCTCGTTGATCTCTCGTGAATCTATTCGAAAAACGCGCATCTACATACAAAGCCCCCTTCCCTAAAAAAGTTATAAACCCAGGTATTTAATGGGGCTTCTTCCTCATACTCTTTGACACTGAGGCCGAAAATGATGAAGTTTTTCTCCACCATTCGCCAATTTGACGAAAAAGTGGATTTTTCTTGTTCTACCATGCGTTCCAACGCATTAGGAAATCGGCATTTCTAAAGAGATAAATATAAATTATAATTCAAAATTTAATTTATATATTATAGCGCCAGTACTTAATATTACTCGCTCTTCAGTAACATGGATTATTTTTCCACTCAGTTACTCATTTAATTTCATAAAAACATCAGTTTTAATAAGTTTTATTAGTTTTCCTGATTCCTTTAGAATGCTTAGTAATTCCTAGGTCTATTTCAAATCCTTTCGATAATTTACGAGATTTCATGGCATTTTGTATCTCCGATTTGGCAAAATGTTCCTAATATTTTTGGCGGCAACGGTGTTAGGCTCTCAAGCGTAAAATATGAACGGGATAGCGCAAGGAATGATTATTTTATGAAGGCTCGGCTCGACGGCACGGGAGGTTAGCTGAAATTTAATTGAAGCACGGCGGTGACACGCCACCCGCTTGGCTACCATATTCCATCGTAGAACGCACTAATTTCACCGTGTGTTGGGAGAAAAATTCGCACGGTTTTGTGCAAAATTCAGGTCGGAGTATTCTAAAGCGATGCAGTGAAGTTGCGCATTCTTCTACTTCAGCCATTAGCATTCTGATTGCAACTTTGTGAACTTAGAAATCAGTTACCCCTGGTAAAAATTGCTAGTAGGATCTGCGTTCCAAAATACTATGGATCTACATGCAGCTGGCTGTAAGATTTCCTATAGCTTCTTCGGTCGTCTAAACAATTTCTTACAGGTAGCTTTTTATAGCCGCTGGCGATAAAGCCACAGTCAGGCAATGAACTGTGCAGCCCGGCGATAGGAACTTCAGCCCGACTTCATAATTTTTTATCGTTTCGTATATAGCCTATGATTTTCTTCGCGTTTAACAGTCAGCTATATGATTTTCTATCGCCTTCTATAGCCGCACAGTGAATCGAGTCAATTATAGAGGTCGGACATGAAATTTTTTACTAAAACTGCAAATTTTGATGTTTATTTCGGCACAATTTAAATTTCAAGAGGTGCTTTTGGAAGGAAATTTAACGAGGAAACCAATACAGCCACTTTTAGAACCGCATAGTTTGTATAAACGGAGTTATAAGCGTTTCAAGTTTTCAAATTTTGTCCGACCTCTCCTATTGACTCGATCCACTGTGAGCCGGCTATAAGAATTCCTATGGTATTTTGAAACGCAGCTCCTTTTGCCAATTTTTACCAGGGACAGGCCTAATAGCCCGAAAAAGATGGTTTTTTCTACTAGAATCTTGCGAAGTCATTAAAATTTCGGACAAGCGAGGTTGATGAGCGCCAAAGTGAAATTCAGTCATCGCAAGCTCCCTGACTTGTAAGTTGAGTGCCCATTGCAGGGAAAGTGCAAAACGCTGTTCCAACTATAGCGAGTGTCCTGAATATTTGATGGCGCCGTCTCTCGTTACACGAGTCCTTCCGCTCGGACAGAGTCAGGCGAAAAATGTTAGGTACTCACAGTTCGGCGCTATCCTCGTCATTAGTACACTGCAGGTGATACAATTGAAGGACTGAAGGTGCGACCAAGAGCAAACAAGAGCCGTGATTTGAATTACGCGTCGGGTTGAGGCGAGTGAGTCGTCTCTGATTGGCTGGCTGTTCCCGCCGATGTCCGCGATTGGCCGGTGCTAAAATGTTTAGCACTGAAGTGAAGAGCAATGACACGCGGGGTTTTAATAATTCGAAAACGAGGAAAGCGTGTAATGAGTGAAACAATTAACGCCGTTATTAAATACAAGAAAAAACGGCTGCGATAGAATTGCGTGAATGCCCCTCTTTTTGCATTTTTGGAGATGCATACATAGGATTGCGCGAATATTTCTGGTACTGAAAATTCACATGTTTGCGCGAATATTCAATATTCAACGAGGGAGAGTCAATCTGGCAACCCTGGTATAATTTGTGGTAGATAAAAACATCGCGGAAGACTGTTCATTCCCTCCTCTTTTACGGGCATGTCTCCCTTCGATGGACAGCCCTCGCAGCACGAATGGCCCAGAGAGCTTTCATGGACGTTTAAAAAGTGAACTGGAGGTCTGTGGCCTATGGCCGCTTCGCGGCCGCTAACAACTGACAAAAACACGTAAAAAATCGTACAAAAACCATGTTCAAGTTTTTAAAGAGATGAATGGATTCAAACCCCGACGGGTGCAGGGTGCACCCGGAAGAACGCGTATATTTATCTCCGATTGGAATGTTATGCACCACTTTTATTTTTTATTGTTAATAAAAAAGCTCCGCAGTTTTTCTGAAAAGTTTCCGGGAATTCACCTAAATGATCTCAAATAAAAGTATCGAAAATTTCGGCGCGATACACGGAAAAAACTATATAGTGCTGAGTACTAATGTTTATACCAAATGGAGCCAACTAGTATGGCAGTAGCGCTGAGCCCTGTAACTTTAGGGTCCAGCCCTACAGACTGTAGGTCTCAGCAGTACTGCCATATCAGCTGGCTCCATTTGATCTAAACAGTTAGTGCTCAGCACTATATGTATAGTTTTTTCGTGTGTTTTTTTGTTCTATTTTCTTTTGATGTAACCAAAAAAAAAAAATTAAATATCATTCGAATTTCTGAATTGTTACAATTGAGGATACATATTTTTCCTTTAATTATGGTAAAAATTGGAGCAGAAAGTTAAGAATAATGACGCGCAGTCCTGCAGCATTTCTACAGTCTTGTAGGCGCTAATATGCGTTTCACGCTAACTGACAGACTGCAGTGCGTTTGACGTAATGCGAGAAGTATTCATGCAGTCTTGTAGGCGCTAATATGGGCTTGACGCCGACCTCACTGTTTGGCGCAATGCGTGAAGTATTCCGACAGTCTTGCAGGCGCTAATATATGTACGTTTAACGCCGCGCCGGACGGCCGCACTACTGTGTTTGGCGCGATTATTTGAACTCGCGTTAGAATAATCGCGGCGTCGAATAATATAGCTTAAAAGGCCCATGCAACGTTACTTCTTTTCTCCCGATTAAATATTTATTCCGAGAAAAGTTAGGAAAGTTCTTCATCTCCACGACCATTATTCAATCTTTTCACTCCATTTATCATCAAAAGGCAAGACATCGATGACTTGTCAGCAAAGTAACCTAAACTAGCGTTAACATAAAAATGCATTTATTTTCCAACTGTTTCCTGCTTTGCTAAACTTCTACCTTAAATTACTTTATTTTAAAATCGTGCATTTCCGGAGGAGATGTTAAGGTTTCTATTCGCGCAATCCTCATGTATTTTCTTAGACCTCTTGCGCAATTCTGGATCATCGGGAAAAAACACTAAAAACATGGATATGACAATGCTTAAACATGGTATACACACAGCCAGGACATTTTGGGGCAATCACGTGCCCATTCTCAACTGAAAGCAAAAGGCCAAAAACTAAAACTATAAAATGAGCATGCAACTGATTGAGGTGGGAATCAGTGCAAATTTTAGTCTCTACGGCTTAGTTTGTAGTGGGTAGTCTTTTGTGACACATTGTCTGATTGTTTTTATTTTTTAAATCCTGACCTTCAATTTAGCCATATTTGTAACCGACCTTTTTTTCCCCCAGGCTTCTGATATCTGGTCTCTTGGAGTCACTCTATACGCTTTTGTCTACGGACATGTTCCTTTCTACGCTGAGGCTATTCCTCGCCTTTACGAGAAAATTAAGTCTGAGCCGGTAGTTTTTCCTCAAACGCCTGTGATTTCATCGCAACTGAAAGATCTCATTACAAAACTATTACACAAAGACCCTGCACAACGAATGTCTCTCTCTCAGATCAAGGTAAGGACTGAAAATTTCTATGCATACCTACAAATGCCCAGATGAAAAAATAAAAAAAGTAATTATAAAAAATTTAACATGAACCGAAAACGAATGTAAATTGAAACAAGACAGGTACAAGACAGTCGCCTGCACACAGTGCAGTGCTGAAGAAATGAGGCAGGAGGCTCTTGAGATGATCATCTAATTAACTTTTACACAAATAAAAATAAATTCGATGTCTCTATCACATTTACCTACACAGTTTCGTCTTCAGTAAATCTACATACAATTTTGGTTCACTTAAAGTTTTTTGGGATGAGTATTTGCATTAGAAGTTTCAGAGTGCTAAGTTGTGCATTACCCATCTATATTAGTGCTATGTTACGAGGAAACCACTGGAATAAAACCATTCATCACCAACAACGCCTTTTCAGGCGAGCTGACATTGGCAAAAACTTTACTTTATTATTGGAGTCTGCTCGCACAATCTATCAAAAAGATAGTGTCATGATGCGAAAGACATTTTGATGGTTTTGAAAAATTATATTTGTAAAACCTAAAGACACGATAGGATTACTTTCCCTAGAAGAACGTTGAGAGGTCTTTCCACAGGATTTTTTGAAAAATTTACCTTAGATTTACTTTAAAAAAGTAAAGAAACCATACATAATTAAATAATAAAAACTTTCTAATATGTACGAGCAATCGGTCCATTTTCTCATCAATGATTAATGATGATTGTCGATTTTTTTCAGGAGCACCCATGGGTGACAGAGAATGGAACAAATCCTTTGATATCAGAGGAAGAAAACTGTCAATTAGTGACTGTCACAGATGAAGAAGTCATGAGAGTTATCACCACAGTGCCCAAATTAGATACATTAATTTTAATTAAAGCTATGCTCAAAAATCACTCATTCCAGGTAAGCCAAAAATATTATAACTCATACAATGAGGGGGGAATCTTCCGTTTTTCAACACTGACCTAATATAAAACATTGAGACAGTAAAATTTACAGAGGGAATAATAACACACATACAACTTTGGAAAACAATAATTATATTATAGAAAAAAGAGATTGAGATTTACAATAAAACATTTAGATGTACTTGACAATGAGCTACCATATTTTTAGATTAACTATATCTAACTGGATGAGAAGCCTCTACAAACATGAATGTATAGTAATTCATAGCACAGAATTTCTACTTTCCATACTGACTCAGCGGAGAATGCAGAAGGAAGAGAAAGGAGATCATATTATAGATAATAGGCAAATGTAAACATCACTCAAAATTACAGCAAAGTGCATTACTGATCGCTGCAGAAACTCATTTGAGATAAAGAAACAAAATTTCAGTGATGCAGTAGATGAAATAGGATACTTTATGCTTATTTAACTTTGTGAGGTGCTCACTTAGGTTGGTAACAATTAATATTGAAATAAAAATGTGTAAACAAAAATTTTTTTTGTGACGTAAAATAAATTTTTGAAATTGAGTTAGCCATACATTATTTATGATTCCAGAATCCATTCCTAAGTGAATCTCTTGCCCGTAAATTTCATCGTGCTGGAAGATCTCACTCTGCACCAGGCTCATATGACTGTCTAAACCAAAGGTAAAATCATGCATTCAAGCACCATTTAAATTTTGAGAAAGTTCCATTAAATTTTAAGTGAAAGCTCAACCTTACATGCCATGAAAATGTACGTAATGGTACCCCAGAGCAAAAACGTGCATAACTCACATTTTTGAAAAAATCGAGTTAGTGTCATTTTAGAAATCTCCAACAATGGTTCCATGTGTGTGGAAAATATGGTAGCCCTATCTTACGCCGGTTATGAGGTGCAGGATCTCAAAAATTGCGATTTACATTTGAATCAATGCACAGTTTTTCCCTGATATCTTGGGGTGAATAAAATGGTTCTAGGTACCTTTTTACTCTGGGGCACTGATATCATCCTAAGCATTACTGTGCTAAACTGCAGAGAAAAATAATTTAATGGTCATTTTAGTTTATACTTTTATCCTTTATATAAATTTAAGGGCGAACAGGGAAATTAATCTATCAACATGAACTTCTTACACGAAGACAAGAAACACAAAAAAGTGGTAAACAAAAGCTAAAATTTAGTAGTTTAAGAGGCCAGGACGTTTCAGGGTCCTAACAACCCAATTTGTTAACTATAAAATAAGAGAGGAATTTAAGAAGGAGCAAAGGGTAATTAATCTAAATACCTATCACAGTCTAAGCACGGTCACGTGATTAGTCTTTCTATTATGTACACCCCAAAGTTTAGGATCTTGCTATTTTCTGGTGTCAATTTTTAACAAATGGATGAGTAAATTTTTAAAAATGGAATCAATTTCTCTTGGTTTATTCATTCATAATTATAAATTTTTTTGAGCTCCTCAGAATGTTTCCACATTGCTTGTTTTTTTGTTTCAGAAATTTATCAGTTGAGACGATACTACCTGCTGTTAAGGAAGTGTCTACGACTGAGTCAAACTTGCACAACTAAGGACGGTATAAATGAGAATCTATTTATTTTTGTTATTACAAGGTGACTGACCAGACTTCAATTGTGGCCAAAGTGACAATTTATTGTTTAAAAACATCGACGAGGTGATGCTGCGTTCTCACTGATTTCAAAACCAATTTTTATAAGATAGTTTTAGTTATTTGTTAATTAATTTATTTATTTATTTATTGGCCTTGGTTTGATACAAAATATATACTTGAAGGAACTGCCTCCTGGATGTTGGACAGTCTCTGTCATAACAATGCACAAACAGTTTAGAATAGGTACTTACAAAAATATAAAATAGTTATCATAAATCATCTGTTTGATTTGAACGATCTGTTCTTCAAGTTTTTTCACAGTGAGAACTGTTTACATTTTACCCAGAAATATGCAAAAAATTATGTTTTACATGTTGATATTTAGATATTTTCTGGATTTGGTAATCAAATAACAAGTGGCTCCCATTGTTAGTCAAATATTCCAAAGATTTACAAGAGAGAGTAACGAATTTTTATTTATCATTAGCCGATTGTACCTATTCATTTAATTTTATCCAAAAAACTTACATTTTGAAAAGACTACCAATGAGCATGTTCTAAAAGACATAGTACGTTTTCCTTGCAATTTTCAAAGTTTTCACTTTTTAACTTGAAGACTACCTCCACTTGATGATGGAGTTCACTGCTTTTCATTTTCATCTCTTACAACCACTTTTAAATCCGTTATGAAATTTACAAATAATACCGATCCAATAGTTTTCACACACATGTTTGATAAATTTGCAATTCAATTGGTTAAATCTTCCTACTTGTAGCACTAACTTTCGTAATCTTTTTTCACCATTACAAATTTGTGTTCATGCTGTTCTTTCCAACTTTAAGTTTATTTTAGATTGTTGGAAACAAACTCCTCAAACATGCTTAGAAAAACCAGTATCAAATATTTATCAAGTTTTTGCTCAGTGTTTTAGACATGTATCTCAGCTCTCTGAACTTTTGGAAGTACCAAAGTAGTAAGTAATCAAATTTAAAAAGTGACCATTCAAGATCATCTGAGTTAGTTTTTAAACTAATGACGTCATTTACAAGGAGAGGTTCTTGAATTTCTGAGAGTAATCTTTTGTTGATTTTTTTTTTAAGAAGTTTTCTTTTAGAAGAAAAAGTTCAGAAGGAAGAGAGATGAATTGGATAATTCTTGTTGAACTCCTTGTACATAAATTTAGTGAACTCTGCCAGTATAAAATTTCTTTTTTAATAAAATTCGACATCACATATACATACTACAAACTGTTTTACACAAATTATTTTAAGAAATTTTCTCGCCAATCAAGATTGTTTTCAAAGATATTTAAATTTGGCCTGTTAATGATCTATTACAAAATAATCAAGGGCTAAAGCCCTAACATTCAGCCAGAAGACAGAGCTAATCACTCAAAAGAAAGTGACAGTAATTTCAAACCATACAATTGATCAATTAAGAAGCAAAAATAATTTTGGAGTGCACTGTGTTCATTGAAATTTTGCTTATGAAAACATCAAAACGAAGGTCAAATTTAAAATTAAGAAACTGTACTGCATATCTGTGGATTTGCATATGCAGCACAAGAAAATTATCTTATAGAGTAACTTATTTTTTTAGCTTATAAGAAAACAAATAAAACAAAGTTTTGTTTCTTGAATTTAAACTTCTTTTTCCATTTATCTGTTCCACTTCGTCCAATTTGAATACCAACTAGTCATTAGTCGGGAAAATATCGCCTTGCAATGGTACTAAAATTTCAATAATTATTGCTTGTAGGTAAAACGCTGATTGAGGAAATGGGTAAGCAAAAATATTCACAGAGAGTGAGTGAAACATTCAGTCTCAATTTTCAACCTTTAATGAAGCATAAGTCCAATTTGTAAATAGAGAAAGATTCTAAATTCTTTCAAACACAAAAAGGAAATTATCCATGCGTTTAATCAGAAAACAAAAAATTACCTAAAACTGGGGATTCACTTATTTTCTTGAGAGAATGTTGCGGTTTCATCATCACTGGTAAAGAAAAGATACAGTTTTTTACTTAGCTCAGGCCCAACTCTCCTTGTTGAAATCAGAGGTCCGACACCACGTCTAACCTGAAAACAGAAATTTGCAAAATAAAACCTAAAATACTAAATGCATTTTGGTGTATTACTTCCTTTCTTTTTCCCTCATTTAAACTTAAGAGCCACCGTTTACTTAATTGTTCAACATGAAGGAATAGGACAAAAACATTAATCAATAATATAGGGTAAAAAGTTGTAACTGTTGCAGGTTAATCTAGATTTTAGGCAGATCTACTTGGGCCACTTGCAATGTACCAAGTCTACTGAGAATTGATCCAAGGGCCGATTTAAGTACAAACTCAATAAATCGTGCTGACTGCAAAATGCCTGAGTCGATTTCTACCACTATGATGACAATCTTTGGGAAGTAACTTGAAGAAATCAAAGAACTGTACTTTCGTTCAGTAAATCTGCTCAAAATTCGAAAACAACAAAGGAACTGAGCATTTGATTCAAAAAGGTTTATTTATCATCAATTAAAATCAATATAGTCAACTCCTGATAAGTGAGAATGCATTGGGGTCAGGGCTCCGTTCTTACATAGCAAGGTTGCTCCAAAACATCGAGATAGTCACATCTGGGCTCTTACAAACCCACAGAGTGAATTTCTGTGGGTAAAATCACCCATGAATTGCGTGAAACTGGTACGACGTGACAGATTAAATTGTTTGGGACATAATCGGAGCCTCCAACTGTCAAGCTTCAGAATTACTTGCTGTCCGACAAGGCACTACGTCCTCTCTGCCAACGGAATGAGTCGCTAAGTCAGTCAAGAATCTCTCGCCGAGAGAAAGAATTGATGATGGTGTTGGTTGCCGACACTCAAAATAATCGATACTTTTCCAAAGGTTTAAATGGAAGATGAAACGATTCATCGTAAAGCGCGACATGCCACTGAGTGGGAGGATGATATCAGAGAATTGAATGGGTTAAAAATAATTTGGAGGACAAAAAATGAAAATCCTCACTTGTCCGGGATTTTCAAAATTCCGGACCAAATTTTCTCTTTCAGTGGGTTTTATCAGTTAGCGGATTCTCACTTATCACGAATTCCTTTATATTGCATATATGGGCGAAGAAACGGGACCGGCCCGGCCTGTCTTTCTCACTAGGCGGGTTTTTTCACTTATGCAGATTCTCATTTAGCGAGAGTTGACTGTATCTATTTGAAAAAAAAAGAAAAAAAAGAAAAAAACTCATTGAAACGCAAATTACAAACTTAGAATTTTTCTAACTCACAGGTAAATCCTTAAGGAGAAGTTCTGCCTCTCTTTGGTCTTCACATTTTCCATATGCCTAAAACAAAATAAAAGAGATTAACAAACCAAGCCACAAACAAACGCTATAAAGAATGAGAAAAAACTAAATTATAACGCTAAATTATAACAACTAATTTAAACGCTATAAAAATAGATGGTATAAACAAATTACTAAATCAGTAAATTGGAGGCTTGTCCAGAAAGTAAGGTCTTCTGTAGAATTTCTCCACTTTTTTTCCATAATTGATGTTTACATTTTTCCCTATTTCAGAAAAACTATTACTTGCAAAAGATTCTCTGCAAAAATCAAGGTTTTCTGCATTGAGGATATCAAAATAATCTTCACTGAATATTTGAAACCTCTTAAAATAAAACTATTAGAGAAAAACCATTCCTTACAGTGATTAGTGCTTGTGGGGTCTTGTAATGACTTATGATTGCATCGGCCAAATCAAGTCCTACTTGATTAAACTGACAAATTTGTTTCTGCCACAGTCTTGAAAACCCGTTTCCATTCTTGTCAATTCGAACACTGTCTTTGGAGTCTCCAGCAGCAAACCACTCTAAATCTTGTTGCTTCTTGTCAAACATCATTTTCCTGATAAAAAACAATGTTGGATTAAGATCACTAGACTAACGAAGAGGACACTTGAGTACAACTCAAATATCGTCATTTGTTTTGAAAAATATTTGACTTCTCTTTCACCATATTTTACAGCGAATTCAATCTTTTCTTACGTTTCTGCACTTCTTTTCAATAAAGCATCAACAAAATAAACGCTTTACAAGACTAAATTATTTTTCATTTGTTCATTTCCAAAAGTTAAAAAATATGCTTACATGCACAAATATACAATAATACAAATATGCTACAAAGGGGCAACAATTATAAGAAACATACAAATTTTTTTGAAAGCTCCTATTCCGACACTGCCACATTGAGCATAACAGTGCTTTGTTTGGGTTTGATGAACCCTAACTACTTTGCAAGGCTGCTACGATTTCTTCAATATTGTGAACTTAGAATTATACATAGAAAAAATGCTCTTATCAGAGAAGAACTATGGTCACCTTCAAATAAATAAATTTAAGAGCTGTTTCCAAGTTTCTGATTAAGATTTTTCCTGATTGTACATGTGCTTCTTTTGATTCACACTAATTTCAATACGTTCAATAAGTTTATTTACTGCTATTAAAATAAGTGTATATTTTTTTAGACTGGAGTTTAAGTGAACAGGCAAAACTGACTGTCAGGAAATTTCTTGAACCACATGATCTCATATGGACCTGTGGTCATTTATTGCTTTATTTGTATGCATACATAATAGATATTAGATATATGTAGAAACAAAACAGAGTCGCTACCCTCGTGAAGATCATCAGGACAAGATAAATACTCTATGAATAATTCTTTGAGCGATATTAAAATTTAAAAAAGACTGAGATAAAGGTAAATTCATACTTGTAAGGTGTCTCAGCAATAGCTTTGGTAAATTGTAAGATAAACTGACCCACATCTTCATTACTTTCCACCAGCCGATGACAACAGTTCGCATGAAGCTGAATTTCAGTTAAGGATTCTTCAAGTTGGACCCTGGCAAAATGAAAGTAGAATACAGTTAATCAGCATTTTTTGTTAGAATATATACCTACAAAGTTTTGGAAAGTCAACAAAATCATTGATACAGCCGATGCCACTAGACAATCTCAAGAATCACAGTAATGGGCTGAAAACTTAGAAGGAAAGTTTACAATACAAATGCTGGATGCGTAACAATTACAAAGGGCTTAGGAATCTATGAAACTGATTTATTGGTTCCTGAGTTCCCATGATGACAACTATCTCCAAAGATCTCATAAAAACGAGGTAGCAAAGTGTCATTTCATCTTCAGACCTTGGACTGGTGTAATTGCAATTTAAGAGAGAAACGGTTTCATTAATTGAAGATTTAACTGTGTCATAACTTAATTTTAGGTAAATGGAACAAAGTTTTCAATATTTTTGATGACAAAAATTTGTATGGAAGAGTAACCCCCCCCCCAAAAAAAAAAAAAACACACACACACACAACTGCTACACTGCATCACAAGTCTCAAGTTAAGTATTCCATTATATGCGCGAAGTTCCTGAATGCTTTCCGTTTTTATATAAGACTTGTAATCTGTTAATTACTATTGAAAATTGAGTAAAAAAAGCTGAAATACAAACCTGGTTATGATAGGCAAGGCTTCATGTGAGGAACTTTTGGAATTTGATTCAGAGTTTTTTGTACCCGATATTTGGGACTTCATTGCTTTGGATTTACTCGACTTCTGTTGGCTGCATAATCAGATATGTTTCTTGCATTAGAAAAATATGAGTCGCTTTCCAAGATTCAGTTTTCTGAATCATTTATTTTAAAAATACAATTTTGTAAAAATTCGATACTTCCATAAAAGTTGAGATGGAAATTCAAACTTTCATTTACATATTTGACACTTTATTGATTGTTGAAAATTTACTTTTGGCAGAAGTATGTTAGACTCTTCTTCACCGATTTCCAGGAAAAAAAAAAAAAAAAAAAAAAAAAAAAAAAAAAAAAAAACCACCATTCAACAAATTACAATGAAACTGGTTACCTGTTCAACTAAGATCTGATCTATGGCAACAAAAAATTCAGAGAGTAGCCTCAACTATAAGAATAGTAATGAAACAGAATTAGTAGGTTCAGACTTTCAACAGGCCTTTCAATAACTAACGCTGCCTGAATAGCAAAAATACAAATGACGTCATTTGCATATTCTGATTCTCATTTGATCCAGGTTAAACAATTTTTTGGTTATCTCGGTCATAAGTTGATTTCAGAACTTTTTGGTGTAGTAATAATTTTCCACTTAAGATTTTGGGGAGGAAACATGTGATGATTCTTCCTAGCTGAGACCATGTCTAGAAGCCGATTGTAATCTGAAGAGTTTGAGAAATCTTGGTTTCAAAAATATAGATTCTTAAAGTCTTGAAGGTAGAAAAGTTACATGAACAATTTTTTACTGCTCAGAAGCCTCACTCTTCACTAGTAGTACTGGTGGTCAATAACTGAGCGTAATACTGTAGTTCCTAATTGCAAAATAGAGTTCAATTAATGAGTTAATGAAGAGGGCGATCATTTAAAATACTCATGCATTTTAGTAAATTTACCAATCAGCGGCTCCAAGGGTTCAAACTATTGAAATCAGAAAAATAAACAGTCCAGATGCACTTGCCATGAGATTCGCACATATTGATGCACTCAAACAACTTACCTGAAATAGTTTTGTATTCCAAAAATGACTAGAGTAATGGTTTTGCCAGGATTGAGCCTTTGTATTTCCATCACATCTTTGCACAGTGTTTCGTGGTATACTGTCTGCACTAACGTTTCTGCTGTCCAAACAATCATTATGTGATTTTGATCAATTTTCTCTCCATGGATCTGAAAATTTAACAGAGAACACAACTTTGAAAAAACAAAGAAAAAAACTAACTATACAAAAAAAAAAAAAAAAAAAAAATGATTTCAGATCACTTGCCAATGAATTGAAGTTTTACCAGAAAGTAACATGTTGATTTCCAAGCCAGTCAACATGACTGGATGCAAAAGCTTCCGCCGACACCATGACTTCGTTACTGTTGCGGATTGTCTCTGAGTTCTCTTGAAGCCACCTGACATTATTGCAACATAAAAATGCATAATCTTTTCCCAATGCGATGTCAAGCAAACATTGTTTTATCATCCATCAATTTTTTAAGGTTTCCATTTCTACATGACTGGTGCTGTGACAACTAGCTTAATTGAGACAAATTGTGTTCAATTATTAGTTCATTCATATTATTCAGTCACTTGAGCTTAAAAATCTGAAATCCAATGACATATTATACTTACACATTATCAATATCAATTTGACTAAAAAAATAAAAATAACATAATGTTACATACATTTTCTTGGGTCCAAGTGATGGAATGAGGCGTCAATTGGGGACAAATTTTTGAACCTGCTCCTGAGGCCTGAACAGGTGCAAGTAAAGCTCCACCGAATGAGCAAGCCAAAATATTAGTGTCGATAACAATTGTCACAAGCTAAAACACAGAGACCAGGTTTAATTAATAAGGATTTCCATCCATTTTGAGGAAAAGGTGCACTTAGGTACAATGAAGACGCACACAAGTTTTCTCATTTTAAAAACCAATTTTTGGGGCCTTCTCATTCTCAAATGTTACTTATTGCGACCTACCAGTTGCAGGGTTGACAAGTTCCTGCATTCCCTGCGATTGAGATATGTGGTTTCGTTGTTTCAACTTTGAAACAGGTTTAAATTGTGATGAGAACATTCTCATGAGACAAGAGAGATGAGAGATCTCATAAGATATTCACATGAGACAGGCACATGAGTTTGAATGTGACCGTCTTCAGAAAATGAATCTCAGTGGAAAAGAATTCAAAATTGACATATTGATGATACTGCGAAGAGGATTATTTTTCAAAAGTTTTGGCCAAAAAAATTCTTTAAAATATTGGACTAAATCAGTAAACTGCTGATTTGAAGTTTGCACTTCAAAGAGTTCAGTTCTGAGAAAAAGCTTCTCAAAATTTTAACCTGCCATTACTTAGCGAAGCTTTTGTTTTTACTGAACTTGATCCATACCCTAAAAAAATTTGCCTTAGTGTTGGGAGGTCTCTTTCCCCATGAATGGTTACAGATACTATGATTGAAATTAAGAAACAAATTGAAGTTAGAGTTCAAATGAGAGGAGCTGACAAACCTTCATACACTCTCCAGGTTTCATTTTCTTCAACAATTCCGAGGCTGCTTTTTTATCAGCTTTACGCTTGGCTTCTTCTTCTTTTTTTCTCCGTCTTTCCTCATTCAATGCTTTCTTCTTTTCTTCTTTTTCTTTCTTTTTTTGCATTTCTGCTTCACTCACGTTTTTTCGCTGTCTTTTACCCTATGGAATACAATACTTATCATAAACCTCCAAGACAAAAATTGAACAAGAAAACAAGTGGGATTAACTTTATTCTTAAAAAAGAAGAAAAAAAAGAAAAATAAAAAAAAGAAAAATTTAAAAAAAATGAGTAGAACGAGAATAAACATAAGGAATTAAACCTAAGATATTAATGAATAATATTTCAAGAAATCTAGAGAAATAGACATTTTTTTAAAATTTTTTTTTTTGTCTTATTAATGTAAAAATTGATGAGCCCTTTGATTAAAAGACATAAAATAAATGAAAATCTAAGAGTAAAAAGAGACTTTATTGCGGGACTTTAAAGTGGGATTTACTGCCGATTAACATCTTCAAAAAATTCCCAAGAATAAATTTTTGAAAGTTTCATACTAGTATTAGCAGCTTTAAGGCCCTCCTGTCCACTGTGGTTACAATAAATTCACAATTTGACAAGGATTCCTCAGCCTAGAATCGTCTTTAGGAATTTTAAAAACTTTGTACTGTACATTTTCTTTGCCTTCAAAACACTCCATGTTACTTTCTTCAAGGGCTAAAACATTCAGCATAGTCAATTGCAAAAGTTCATGGAGAACCAGCCAATTAGAGGCAACCTGCTCCTTGTCACGTAAAGTAGATGGTGCTATACAGAGTGTCTACTCAAACAGGTGAGCCAAAAATCAGTACATTCCCAAAAAATTCAGTACTTTTTCAGTACCTCCATTTGACGAAATTCGAAAAGTTTCAAAAATTAAAATTTCTCGCTCAAATTGAGACAAAAATGACCAAAAAATGAAAAAAATTCTGAACCTATTGAGGAATTTCCGCACTTTTTCATTACTTCCTAAACCCCTTAAAAAATCAGTACTATTTCCGGACTTGTAGACACCCTGCTATACTGCCTATCATCATTACAGCTCTAGTTTTCTCACTCCTTTTAGGCACCATAATCATCGATGGAAGGTTGCGTACTGAGGAAGGGAGTGATGAATTGAATTAAAGCAATCATACCTTTTGGGGCTGAGATTTCTTCTGAGATAGATAGCTGTTAATTTGGGAATCCCCATCAGAGTCACTCTCCGAAAGATCATGGGCGTTTCGATTATGGGTGTTGCCAGCAAGTTCTTCTGCCTCATCATTCCAAGAAGGCCCACTTCTTTCCTTGTCATAAAAATTCAGTTCCCTATGGTAATCATCAATTGTCGGTATGTTACGTGGGCTAGAACCACTATTCGATTCTTCATCGCTTGATATTACTAAAATGGGGTTATCCATGCTTTCCAATTCCTACTAAAATTAATACGCTCTAGAATTGACCGGAAAACAAGAGAATTAGAACTGCACTTTTTTCAATCAAGAGGCACATTATGGGGTATCAACATGATCAAATAGGATGAAAAGGCACAGATCGACTGATGGATTTCTTATCATGATTGCAGTGACTATTACGAACAATACTGGATGAAATAGATTTAACTTAAAAATGCAACAAAAACGTAGAGCTCTGATATAACTCAACTGGATAAATGTACAGTTGATGAAAGGATAAAAGTTTAAAGTGGTAAAACAATAAACAATGATGTAAAAGGTAAAAGTTCAAAAGCTCAAAAGCACATGGAGTCCGTTAATCGGATGTAAACAATAACAATGACATAACCTCTTCAAGTTTGTTTATGTTTTGTTTTCCCGCCGAGTTCGGCCGACGACTGGTAACTTTTATTCTTTCCTCTTTCGTGTTTTATTTTCTTATTTGTTACCCTCATTTCATACATATTCTTTTAATTGTGCATTTGCTTGTGGCTGAAACTTTAGTTTTCCAATTTTTACTGTGATAGCATTCAATTCTTCCTTGCAAATTCTGGACGAATGTGAACTTCAAGTAACGTAGCTTGTTGGCTTACGACTTCTCTGTGTTGATTGGAACTTTGAACATTCTGCTTGAAATGAAATATTCCCTATTCCTATACATACACAGCATTATCACTATGTAATGTAAGTATTTTACCCTCTATTTACTCACTACGAGCACTTTATGCCCATGGTTTCTACGCTCACGGGTGAGCTCACCAAGGTATCTACCGCCACCGTCGGAACCGATTTTTTTTCACAGACTTTTGGACTAATTCATCAAACCCAATTTTTCTTTTTCCTAAATGTGCTTCAGGTATAGCGCAATAAATTACTTCAGTCGGTAATTTTGCTACACAGGGTGGCTCCCCCCAACAATGGTGAAACTGCAGTAATGCGTATTTCTGTTTACGGCGCTGCAGACTTTCGGTCATATTATCTATGAGGGAAACTACGAAACGTCGTCTTTTGAAAATTTCAGTCATTTTTCTTCTCTTCATGGAAAATATTCTGTGTAAACTTCAAGCCATGATGTCAGTTTGGTCTCTTTTTAGAAAATAAAAAAGCTACAGAGGTTTCGAAGCACCACAACGGAGATACGCATTTTTGAGGTCTCACCGTTGTTAAGCGGTCTGTAATTTTGTTCTGATGCGTCGGCATACAAGTTACCAAGTGCTCAAATACCCAAGCAGTAGACTTGTGCTGCAAGGATCCAGGATTGCACTTAGGTACTCAATTTTTACATTTGAGCTTGCTAACCAACACTTCATTTTATGTTTCTTTGGCATTTTCACGGATACCAAGCAATTCCACTCCTTCTCTCCTTCTTTCCATGTAAATTTTTCCTTGGGCTGAATGATATTTTCACTCCTGCCATATAATCTAAATTATCCATTACCGATTTGACAAACTATTCGGATCTTTCAGAGTCGCAGAAATTAAGCCGAGGCAGATCTAAACATGCACCGATTAGAAGAAATGAAAGTCTGGCAGAAGGAGCAGCAGAGTAAGTTACTCAATGGACAACAGCAGGAAGAAAAAGACTTTCTGGAAGCACAAAAAAAACAAATTCTGAATCTCCTTAGCCTCAATGAACGGAATCATTGTAAGTAGCTCCAACTTATGTTTATGTTCACATCACTTTTCTTTTAGTGTATATTCTGGAGAAAGCATCTAATGCCAAATTCTCTTCTAACGTCAGGTGTTGACAAGGGAATATTTGTAGTTTTAGCCTACACAAATTACATAGATATGTCAGAGTGGGCATCAAAACTACTGTGTATCAAGTGCTAGCATGAAGGACATTTTAGGCTTCCTATGTTAGATTTAACTTTTAACTTAATATTTTTCAAATAATTTAAAGTTTATAATGGATTTCAGCAATTTTGCTGAAAACAAAGCTTGGAAGTATTACCAGCTTTATCGCCAGAAATATTATTGCAATCTCTATCTAAAATTTAGATTTGTTTTAAAGCTTACATGTTTACTTAAAATAATCTTCAGTTTAGCTAAGCTTTTGTTGGGTAGTATTAATTACCTTATCGCAGTGGTACTTCTCGGAAGCTAAGATTTACTCGCTAGTAAAATATAATTCAAACATTTGCGAGATCTAGATGATCATCTGCCTCCAAAGCCCAGTTAGGAAAAACAGGGAAATCTGCTCAACTTCTAATTCACAATGTGCAAAAGATCTAAATACTGAAACATGCAAAACTAAAGTATTGAAATCTGACTAAAGTTTCTGCTGCCAGAACAAAAATGATCTTAATACAATGAGAGGAACCGGACTAGCTTTTTTTTAAGCCACATATTTTTGTGCAAGTTTTTCCTCTTTTTGTAATTTATTATTATGAAACATTATCATTGAAATTGTTTGGTCATTTTTCAACAGCACCAAATCTTGAGGATGGCAGTTCAATGGACTCAAAAGTATTGGACTACTCCCAGACCTCGGAAGAGATTCTAAATTTTAATCCCAGCACCAACTATGACTCAGAGGAGAGTCGGAAAAACAGAATTAAATACTTAGAAGCTGTAAGTTTTTACGCAAACCTGTATTACCCTGACTTTTTTTTCTCCCTTTTACGCTAGCTTTGATTATATTACTTTGGTCTCAGGGTCTGGCAACCTCACAAAGCTGATGATCTATGCTTTCTATCGCCTTTTGAGTACTCTTCATTTTATCATTCATTTTTGTTTTCCGTTTGCTCAGCAGATCTTGCTCCGTAGCAAATGAAGGGGAGTGATTGTTTGAATTGCTCAAAGGCGGCTGATTCAGTACCTCTTTTTCATTGCTATTCAAGTATTTATTTCTTATTTATGTTGCGGTTTTGGATTGCAGGGAAGGAAATGAATTTTCTTAGGACTTTTAATTTCATAAATTTGCTTCAAATGGTCAGTTTCTAACCTACTCATGGATCCCATCACCCTATCGTATAAGTCTCAAGAACCAAATAAAAAAAAAAATACTTCAAAATCACCATCAACTTCCATGGACTTTCAATTTGAAATCAATAAGTACAAGTATAATTTGCTGTAGAATTTAAAGGAAAGATCCTACCAAGCAAAAACTGTGGAAAATTCCATTCAGTAAAAACTTAATAAGTTGAGATTAAATTCTTGATTCCATATTTGTGCTAACTTTTATCTCATACAGAACTTTTTTGTTTTTAGTTACTCAATGAATGTTACCATAAAAAGGCACTTTTAGAAGAAATGCCTATCTCGTCATCTGGTCAAGACTATGAAAAGCTCCTTGAGATGAGTCTCTCACAGAACAAAGAAAATAATCCTTACGAAGAACAGGAAGCTCAACTAGAAATGATAAACTCTAAACCAAAGAAGCCATTCTTAAGAAGAGGGGAAGGACTTGCTAGATTCAACATGACACCAGAGGATTTTAAAAAACCGGTCAAGATGAACTTTTACCGCACCCGGAGCCATGCTGCTTTACGGAACACTCAAAGTAGTGTTACCACTAGCAACAAGCGCAGTACACCTGTAAGGAGTAAACCTCCGCCCCCACAAAAGTCGAGGCAATCTACAACCACAACAGTTTTCAAGAGTGAGTAAAATCAGGAATAATTAATATTAATTTATAATTTGAAATCATAAGGGTAATATTAAGAGAATAACAGCTGAAGGAGCTATAAAGAGTTATGAACTACTTTTTGGAAACCCTCGCATTAGGCAAGAGCTTATAACACCGATGAACATAGAACTCACAAATTGTAGCTCCATGAATTTTCAATAAGATGGTCCATTTTTTTCTCTGGGACTATGAAGGATCCTACTGATGTCTTGACAAGTCTGAAGAGGGTGAAATAATCATAGATCTGTCTAGGTGACCCTGCCAATGTCTTGACAGACTTATAGAAAGTGAAATAATCATAGATATATCAAAGAGAGCTTTTTTAAGGTTTCCTCTTGTGTAAAGTCACTAAAGTAAATGTGAACTCATATTTTTTACATTTACCAGAAATGTGGAGTTTTTTTCTCAGGTCGTATAAAGGATCTAGTGTTGGTCTTCACTGATATGAGAGAGTATGTCAGCGGCAGATTTATCCAAAAGAACATTTTTCGTCCAAGAAGTTGAAACATAAATGATGAATTCATGTTTTATTCATATTTTTGATGTTTTTGATTAAATGTAGGGTCTTTTTTCTCCGGGCAGATGAAGGATCTAGCAGAGATTTTAACCTATTTTAATAGAGTGAAATAACTATGGGTTCATCCAAAAGAGTTTTTTTAAAGCTGTTTCGCATGAGGAGTTACAACACAAATAATGCACTCATATTTCACGTATACGTTTTTACTTGTCGGACAAAATGCGAGTCCTTTTTCAAAACAGAGATGGAGAATCTAGCCAAAACATTTATTGATTTGAATTGAGTTAAATAATAAATGATCTATCACAGCTCCATAGCTTCTCGAAAGGTTCCCTCTCCTTAAATAGTTGTTACTAACAATAAATCCTGAATCATATGAATTCACGTGAAGAAAAACTGCGCTATTTTGTCAAATGATTTTACAGATTACATCTTGAGACATGTTTCTGATCAAAATCTTGAATTGTAACTTTTGTCATGATCTTCGGTCATTAGCTTTATTCTAATTTTATTATGTGACAGTGTGTCTCCACAACTTCCTGCTGGGTTTATACAATGCTCATGTTAATATGTATTAAATTTTAATTGAAGATGCTAGGATGCAGCCATCAATTTTGAAGTCCTCGCAGAGTGCTCCCACTACAAGTTGTACCAAAACTGCACAAAAAATGAATGCTCTCTCTTCTATTTTGAAAAAACCCACAAATCCTCCAGTATTAAGTCAACGAGAGAACCAGTCGTCTTCTGTACCTTGTGATGAGTACAAACAAAAGAAGGTAAATCTACAGTCATTTTAAACAATTCCCACCTCTATATTCTTTATGCAATTCGAACATTTCACAATTTTACATCTAGATTGAACCAGAGCCACTCATGAATTGCAAGCATTTACATATGAATTGGATTCGTGCTTCAAATCTGAATATATTGCGTTACCATGAAAGTTATGTGGCATCTTTAATTTGCAAAATGCTCTGGAGAACCTTCTTTCCATCCCTTTTTTCAAGTGGAATGCCACTAGTTTTCACTATATTAATTCAGGTCTGAGCTAACCGTTACAGAGTCAAGCAAGTCAATGGGAGGGGCCAGACAGGGGTGCAGAAAGTTCTTAGCCTTCCCCAAAATTTGATGTTTTGCTTAAATTGCACCTGTGCATAGAAGTGCGCGTCTAAAATTTTCCTTCCCCAATAGCAGCAAAAAAAAGTAAAATAAGAAAAAGCCTTTTTCAATTCTCACGCAAGCGGCAACATCATTATGATTGCACGATCAAGAACATCCTGCACCCCAGGGGCGAGATATAATGTGGAAACTTTAAAAGCTCATGTTTTTGCTAATAAAAAAGGCAGAAGTTTAGGAGTGGCTGCATTTATTTTCTTGTAAAACTCTCATAAAAAATTACTGACGCACACTTTAAAGTTTATAATTTATCAAAATAAGCATCCAAATCTGTGGTTTTAGTGAAGTATTTCATGTCTGTCCTCCCCCATTAGCTTGTTCCACTGTGTGTCATTCAATCACATGATAATCATTTGTCATATCAATTTTGTCAGTTTTTTACTAATTTTGTCAACTTCACCAAATTTCCTTGAAGATGTAAATAGCTGATAAAATCATGAAAATCACAATAGCAGGGGCTAAAAAAATGAGGAATAAAGTCAAGATTGGGAATTTTACAATTCTTTTGAACCATATTTTACCTAAAATAACATACTTTTCATTTTTTTGTTTTTTGCCTTCTCCTGGCTGTAGATAAGGTAGCTGGGGTATCAAAAGTCAAATGGTATATCTGTTAGGGCTCAGCTTGTGCCCTCTATTAACTTTGGCTCTGGGACAAGGCTCACGTAGGGCCCCCTCTTCTGTATCCTGTCTTGGAGCAGCTCTGACCATCCTATTCTGTCATAATCATCAGGATTTCTATTGTATGCATCTAAAACTGATGGCACCAGTATGTGTCTTGATAGCCTTGTCCTCGTAGGTCCATGTAATTGATCCCATGTCAAATGTAGAACTTTAAAATGGTTTACAACAGTATGGAATGAAAAAATAGTTTTTACAAGGTTTGAGCCTTAGCAGTTTTGCAAAGAGGTATGAAATCACCAAAGTCTGAAACGAATGTGGGGCAGACTTGGTGCAGATGATGGTCAATTATTTTCAATGAAATTTTCTCCAAGAAAGTCCGATTTCTTTATTCATTTGAATTTTTTATATTTTTATGTTTTAGAAAGAAGAAAAAGAACTGAGGGTGTTTGAAATCCTTGAAGAAAAAGTTGGGGAGGCAAGTTTTTGTTCCACATCATCAACAATCGCCCAGTTGATGGATGATTCAGTGAAGGTAACGCCCTCAAAAGAAAATAATGATATCAACCAAAGAAGGGAAGGAACAGTTGTCAACCATCCAGGTTTGGACTCCTAACTCTAACTTAATTTTTTCTTTCATTTGTTATTGATACAGAAGGCTGTTATTAATGAAAGTAGATACAGTATCTAATTGGGCTACATTTTACAATTTAGAACTATAAATTCTAGCCCGGTTTAAAAACAACGTTTGTGCCATTCGTTTCCGCATGCACATAAGTGCTTTTCCAGACGAGCCTGAATTTATAGTTCCAAATTGCAAAACGCAGTCCAATTGAAAGTTCACTGTTACCTTTGACACGTACAGCTTCTAAACTCAATAATTCAATATGTTTCATTATTCAAAAGCAATGCTGATTCTGTTGAGAAAATGATTCCAACTATGAGGAAATTTTTGACCCTTCCCTTGTTTCTGCGAACTAACTTCAATCGCTTCAAGTTCAAACCGCTTTTTGCTACAATTCCTTCCTCTCGATTAATAAAGTCGCAAAAAGTGCTCTGATTTGGCCTTTTAATCCCTTGTCATAATTTTCAAATATATTTGGGTGGCTGGAAACTTTGGGAAAATGGGGAAAAAGAACTATAGGTTGAATGGAAGTGCAAAGTCTCAGAAACATCTGCAGCGGGCAAATTTGGACTTTTTCTGGACCTACTCCTTTCCAGAACAGTCTGATGCACTTTTGAGATCTTCAACTTGCAGTATCCATGTTAAGTGCATCTCTGATGGAAAGGTATGGTAAATTAAATTTTGAGCAGAATGAGTAGCTCTCAATAATCAGAAAACTGATGTCTGAATCATTCTTGATTTTTCCAATGAATAGCAGTTTAAGTTAAAGAAAATTTTTTGTTAAAATTAAGCAAAGGTCTGTGTCATGCAAAGGATATCTCACAATCTATACTATAAGCTCAGAGACCTCCTAATTTTGCGAAACTGGTAACGCTTAGTTCCAGCGTTCTACCGGGCCGATTTTCAAGATTTTTGCGGTTATCGACGGGCAATTGTCTCTAGATAAGCCAACTCTTTTCAGATTTTCAAAATATGGCCCAGGTTTTTTTATATTACGTGATAAAGTTGCGAATTCTCCCATTTAAACAATGTAAATTTATACTATTTGTCATAGTTCGTTTGAGCGTTCTACCGGGCCGATTTCCATGATTTTTGCGTAAATCGACAGGTAATAGGCCCTAGATGAGCCCGCTGTAATCAGATTTTGGAAAAAGGACCCAGGTTTTTTTAAAATCACGTTATAAAAGTAAGTGAGTTTACAGAATGCTCCGGTACTGCTACCGCTATGAGAGGGAGGATGCGCAGTGGTCGAGGAGGTTGCGCAGTAGCTGTGTAGCCTGCGCATCAGCTCTACACTTATCTACACAAGACTCGTACCGTCGAACTCACGTCGAGCGGTGGCCGAGTCGTCTAAGACGTCGAATGCATCCACTTTGAACGCGATGTGGGTTCGATCCCCGACTCATATTACCTTAACTATTACCTGACAATCAATGGCCATTGTTTTACTGCAATATTTCATCAAGCAGTCATTCCAAAACGCGTCCTTTTAATTTTAAAGTAATTTTAAGTAAAGTTTAAAATTAAAGTATACCTCATACCGTAATTTTTTAGGGGAAAAATAAAACTAACACTGATAGGAGGGTAAAAATAGGGCAGCGAAGCGGCCCATTGATGGCGCGGAGCGCCTTCAGGGGGTTGGGCCGCGTAGCGGCCAGGGGGCGTAGCCCCCTAGTAAACTTATATCCCATACAAATTTGACATTGCTCAAAGTGACAGACGTCACAATTTGTTATAATTCGTTAACGATTTGTGTTATGGTGTTTTGAAGCTTCCTTGAAACTGTTTGTGCGTATAAGTATTCGGACTAGTTTGCTCAGATTTTGTCTATTGGATTCATTACATTGAAACAAAGATTTACATTATAGAGTTTGGTCCATTTTTGTGACTTCTGAAAAGTGATAATTGGTCATGAATGACCGTCCTCCCAGAGAAGTGAGTCTTTAAATGAAGAATCAATTCATATTGTTTGAGCTTTACCTCTTCGTTTTAAAAAAATAGTAACATCTATTTATAATATTTAAACTTTTCAGGAGGCGAGAAAGTAGCATCGAAACAAAATCTACAATACCCGGAAGCTGAACTCAATGATGACACTGAAGTAGGGGATGATGATGGCTGGACGGATATTAGCTCTGATGAGGAGTCTGGGGAAACTGACAAGGCGAGCTTTAGCTCAGATGATGGTGAACGATTATGCAGTCCTCCGCCCAACTTCCAGAAACATGCTCATTTCAATGATGATATTATCTACCAAAGAGCCTCTGCGCCCTGTTTACCTACTTCTAAAGAGGATCCTCCCCTGAAAAGTGCTCTCCGCCCATCAGCAAGGTAAATACTGCAAAAAGGATTTGCATCGTTTATGATCCCCTGTATAATTAATCTCTTCCTAGAAATATTCTGCTCTGGTTCATCCTCTGCCTGCAGAAAAAATGTTTTGAAACAATTAATCAAATTTGGTAAAGATGAGTGCAGAGCTCTAGAGGAGAGAAATGCTGCTGTGCCAAGGAAAAACGGCGTATGACATTCAAGAGTTGCTAAATTTCCTTCGATAAAATGTTTATTTACAAGGAAAGTTATGAATATTTTTACGATCAATTTTCAAGAACTTTAGATAAAACTGCAAATAAAATTATTTGAAAAATTGGAAGAAAAATGTATGCAGATTTTTCCGAAAACTTGTGATTTATTAACGGAAAGGCAACACCTGAAGGTTCATACAGCATTCTTCCTTAGCATGGTAGAATGGGCCACATACTATCCTCACTGTCCATGATGCTTCACCTTTGAAGTTTGGGGGAAAACATGAACAACAAAGCTATTCATAAATAAAGGTTTGGTCCAAAACCTCGCCCATGAGAAACTTCGCACAAGAGGAATTGGCCCAAAATCTTGGCGAGGAGATTTCTCCTCTATCAAATGGAAGGTCAATCCGTCCCTCTGATTGTACAAAGGACAAGACGGAAGGCAAATAGGTTTCCCACCCCGGTGGCTTGCTTAAGAGTCCTGCAATCCGGCAAGTACCTGTCTCCTTTTCAGGGTTTCGTGCCAAAAAGACCGCAATTAATTCCTCATTCATGAGTTTTCTCACTAATGAAGTTTTTTACAAAATCCCCATTGCCAAGCTGGCTTGCCTCTGAGAAAACACCAATTCTTCAGTAATGAGGCTGCTCGCAGTTGGGGTTTTATCAAACCCTTCACTCTTGAAGCCTGGATGAGCCGCCAAAAGCTTAAACATTTTCAGACTTTTCTCCTTTTTTTCTTTCGCTCGTGATGTATTCGACCCACTAGTATTAATTTTTCAAGGCAATTAGCTTCAAATTGTTACCATATCAGTGTTGATCGAAGTTGATAATCATCGTGCATTTTCATCTTTCTTAAGCAGAGTAGAGTGTAATTGCATGAAGAGTTCTCTAAGTAGGACTCTTCATGTTTACAGGAAAGCAGTAACAAGAAACAAGCAAACAAACGAAAGAAATGTTAAAAAAACGGACAAATCGTCAACAACTATGCTCTTTTCATCGTATAAAATTATTTTCTTAAAATTAAGATCAAATCTTCAGACATATTTTTGAACTTCGTGTGTCTCATTCTGTATCTTCTTTTTTTTCTTAGTTTACCCAGCCAAGATGCTGCTTTACCAAAAACCAGTGGCACTCGTCCACAATCCTCTGCTCTTAATTCAATAACACAGAAAGATTTTGAAGATCTGGGTCTTAAATTCCAGCCTGAAAATTTACTCCAGAACTTGATGAAAGATCAGAGCTCATTATATGAAAAATATAATCCGTTAAAGAAACAAGCTGACTGTACAAATTTTAAGACCGAGTTACTACAACAGAGGTAAGTTTTAAGAAACAAATTGTATGTTTGGTCAAGAATCGGATAATTAGTACCGTTTATTCAATTAGTGGTTCTAAGATCTTTACTTTACTTCCAAATTGCTGCTACAACAAAAGATACGTTGCATCTTACCCAGTGTGTCCCAAAATTAATCAGCTTTACCTTGAGAGGCGATACCTCAGATCAAAATGAGGCTTTATTTTCTATGAGCGAGGTCCCAAGAGTTTGATAAATATTTGTTATATGTGCATTGCTGATTTTAAGTTTGATTCCTGGGTAAGTAACTTAAGTTTAATGGTCTCAACACACTCTTGCCTGGGGCTGGCTGTTGAGTAGGGACTGTGGAAAATGAGGCTTTAAGCAAAGGATCCCCCCCCCCCCCCCGGGAGTATTGGAAGAAATGAAAAAAAGAAGGAAAAAAAACAGTGTAATCAGCATGTTTTTAAGGAAAATATTTTGATCATTCTAAATCTGTGTAATCGTACAGTCAAATATTTTAAAATAATTTCAATTTAAATTGAATAATTTTCAGGTTAGAGGATCTTGAAAAGGAGTTACAAGTGTTTCGGAAGGAGAATGCAAAGTTGTTGCAACAGAAGCAAGAGTTAGAATCAGAGCGAGCTACATTTAAAAAACAAAAGCGGGAGTTCGAGACCAGGGTGAAGAAGTTTCACGAGGAAGATGAAGCGCGACTAGCAGAGGAACGTAAAAAGTTGCAGAAAGAACGACTGGTCTTTGAGAGGTACACGAAAGAAGTGCGGAGTAAACCAAGTAAGCAGGAGCAAGAAGAGATCAAGATGCTTAAGAATGAGGTTCGTTTAACTCATTTTCAGAAGTTATGCATTAATTAGTGCACTGCAATAGAAACCAAGAATCTGCTACTTTTTCTGAAAGTACTTCCATTGAGAGGACCATTTTGCATATATTTTTTAAATTCAAGAAAGTGTACTGCGCAAAAGTTGTCTCTTGGTGTTGAACGAAATGGTGCAAAAGCAGGGGTTCTGGTGGTCTTAAAAATCTCATAAGTCAGGGAATTTTGCAAACAACGTTTAACAAAACTCAGCATAATTAGAAGGATAAGTAATGTATCTAAATGATTCGTTCAACGGTCAGGGAATTAAAAAAATTTGAAGTCAGGGAAGAGTAAAAAAGTCAGAAAATCAGAAAATGAACAAAATTATGGAAACCCTGATTGTGGTTTGCTGAATATCGGTTTCCTAAGAAACCCAGAATGGCCCAAAGATAGGATTTCAGAAGATAAGCAATGGGGAATCAAAGAATCTACATTGTTCTTGTTTTAACTGTAAAATCAGGCCTCGAATTGGTTCCTCCTTTTTATATGATTCTGTAGATGTTTTATCTGTTCTATCTTTCTATGCCTCCCTCTTGAGGAGCACAAGATTCAGTTCTTTCTTTCTTGGTGTAATTTTTTTGTAGAAAGTATATTATAATTTCAAAGAAGACCTCATGAATTTTTGTGATTTCATTACTTAACAAGAACAGAGTTTGCAACCAGTTACTTTGTGTATTCTTAGTCCATTTTCTTCGCTCTAGGTTGCAGAATTGAAAAAAGAATTGGAACGCAAAGAGGGTAAATGGGGATCAACTTTAGCTCGACTTCGCAACCAAATGAAAGTAATGGAGAAGGATAATAATCACCTCAAAGAGGAAGTAATCACTTTGCAGAAAGGGTCAGCACAGAAACAGGTGAGATTCATCAAATATGAGACTTCAGAAGTAAATCAGGGAAAATCCACATCCTGACTGCAATTTTAGGAAATATGCATTATCAAATCAACAATGGCTGTTCAGCTTAAAATTTTCAAACCTTACCTAGACCATCTTTTCTTTCTTTAGTTGCATGGCTAATTTCCCATGGCCTGTGTATCTTCAGCAGTTTTAAAAAATCCACAAATAGAGATTAAAATTTGTAGAAAATGAAAAGGAGTGAAATAGGAATGCTGTATCCCAACACTCAACAATTTCATGAATCTAACTTGAAAGAACAGTAATGCCCCACTTTTCTCTCTTCTCCATCATTTTCTAATTGAATATTTTTTTTTCATATTTCAGCTAATTTCAAAAGGCGTGAAACTGGCTGACGGCATGATGAACACTAAAATTATCCATGCAATCAACAAACAGCTTAGCAACCTCACTCCAGAAGATATTGAAGAGCTTTTGGATAAGCGCGAACAAATCCTTAAGAAACCTCAAATCATTAACAAGCCCTCTAACCTGAAAACAGTGAAGAAACGACGCGAATCGACCCTCAAGAACTGCAAGGACCCTGAGAAAGTTCAAAAAAGAGTTCAGATCAACATTCAAAACGAGAGCGATACTCCAGACTCAGATGATAAAGATCCAATCCTTGAAGCTGTTCGAAAACCTGTCCTCAAAGCTGTTTACCCAGAAGAAGATGTCGTATTGAAACAGTATGAGGATGATTTCTTCACTAAAAAGGATACATCCCCATTAAGGCAAACTTTTGAGTCGAAAGTGGAAGGCGATATTATTGATTGCATTTCAGTTGATGGCAACCGCGAGAAAATCTACCCTGATGGTAGAAAAGAAATCTGGCTCCCAAATGGGAACGTCAAAAAAATCTCACCAGATGGGAACTTGATCAAAATTATCTACTACAATGGTGATGTGAAAGAGATGGTGGTTGCTGAAAATTTGACCAAGTACTACTATGCTGCAAGCAAGACTTGGCACACAACTTACGGCGATGGATTAGAGATTCTTGAATTTTCCAAGTAGGTTTTTTTTTATTATTATTATATTAAACACATACAGTAAGACTTTAATATATCGGATCGCAAATTAACGGATTCCGCGATTTAACGAATCGATCCCCTAGTCCCATCAAGGGCGTCAAGCTAATTTGAATCAAAAGATTCTGAGATTCAATGGATCAATTTGTCAGTTCTGAGGAATCCAACAAATTTAGGTCCTGCTGTATTCAGTGAAAAGCACTAAAGTATTTGTTGATTCGTTAGAAGAGACCAAGCAAACTTGATCGGTCTGTCATGGACATTTTCTACCCTCGCAAGGGGAGGTCACATTGTGTCCCTCCTCCAAGAGTATGGATAAAATACTGCAGAAGGAAGAGCACCATACCTCTTATGTGTATTAGCTTCTCATAGGACATTCCGTGTTTTGAGGGGCACAAGCAGAGTTTGATGCACCTCTGACTTAATTTTGTCTGTAATATTGTTTTGATGATTTGAGATACATGATGATGGAAGTCCAAGCTAATGACTGACTCTAGCAGACCACTAATTCCAGCAGCATAGCGTAACCAAATATATAGGGTTAGTGTTGGTAAAGATCAAGGTTTTAGGGAACCCTTGCTAGCCCAAATTTCGTAATCTAATCCTTTCAAGAAGCTCCTAATCAGAGGGTTACAAGGGTAAAGAGTTATGTAGTATCTTTGTGATTTGAGAAAATCTTTGAGTTGAAAAAAATGTTTAACTTCCCTGATTTTAATCCATTTTCAAGGTCTCTAACATCTCTATTTTTATCAATTGTTTCAGTGGACAAGTTGAAAAACGACTGACGGATGGTACCGTAGAGATCTCTTTTCCCAATGGAAGTTCCCGCAAAATCTTTCCTGATGGATTGGAAGAATGGACTTTTAGTGACAAGTCAGTCCTGAAAACCAACAAGAAAACTGGTTATAGAATGTTAGAGCTGCCAAATGGACAGAAAGAAATCCATACCTCCGAGTATAAGGTAATTCTCTTTTTTTTTTTGTATAACTAAGCCTTATCATGGGGTTTCCCCATGGTTGTATCCTAACTACTAACTTTTTTCATATTTTAATTCCATATTAAACAAAAATTGAAAGTATTTTGCGTGATTTTCATTTTTCACGTTGTTGCCCTTTTGGGCCCTAAGAGCTACATAAATCGAGTTGTCCATATTCTCCCTATAAAGGTACTCTAGCGTAACCCAATAATTGCAAAGTGTACTCAGACCATCACTCCATCTCCTTTCTTTCATGAACTGTTTCTTCTTGGGGCAGGATATGAAATATATTTGTTGAATCCTTGGGGTTTCAGTTCACTCAGTACTTCTGAGTAATAATACGATGCGCCACAATTTTTCTGCGCCAGTTTGCTGTTCATTAGTTTTCATAGTTAAAAAGATTTTCACGTTTTCAACCGGTACTTCGGTTGCTCGAATCATTCACAGAACTTTTCAAAATTATTTTCAGAAGCGAGAATTTGCTGATGGCACCGTGAAACTAGTCTATCCTGATGGGACGCAAGAAACTCGTTATGCTAACGGTAGAATCCGGCTGAAAGATAAGAATGGTAAACTGATTATGGACTCAGATGTTAAGTTAGCCTAATTTTATATCTCCTCAGGGATCATTTCACATCTGTGGAGTCCTTGTTTCCTCAGGTATTCCTTAAATGCATCTCGTACAAAAAACAAGCTAATTTTGTTTGGTACCATCATCACTTTAACGCACGTGCACAGTTCAATGAATGAAATTAAGGAGTTCGTTTTTTAGTACAGAATAGGAATACATGGTGTTCACATCTTTTAGAGTTCAGAAGTTGCTTAGGCACTACTTTTGCAAGTTAGTTTTAGCAATGAAGCACATGGGAGGTGGATAGGATTTTCAGCGTTTTTGTAAAACTGTAAGCTGTAAGTCCTCATTTAAGATTTTTATAAGGGGAGAGGAGAGTGCTGCTCTCAAGCCAGAACTTATATCCTTTTATCATTCTCAGGCTCCATCGGGAAACCTGTTACCAGTAGTGACCTAATTTAATGTTACTCGGGTTTAGTGAAAAAAAATTCTGTGAGATATGATGTAATAAGTCATTATTTTTAGACAATCCTTAAATCTCAAATAACAAGTTATGTGAATTTTTTAATTTTGTACGTATAACTAGGCATATGACTGCCAAATGGAATTATAGACGAGGGGGAAAGACGGGGTGTGCTCTAGAAAGCTGTATCAGGAACAGAATGAAAGTATGCGTCATTTCCTTTGGGGAAATGAAAAAGCGGCATTTTACATTCTGTCTAACAGAACTATGTGCTAATTGAATGCTGCAATCATGAGCCATGGGCATGGGAAAAGAGCATTGTGGACAGGGTTCATGAGTTAAAGAGCACTCCCGTGCCCTTGTGCTTCCCGTCGTCGCCGCTGACATCACTGGCGCTTTATAATTCCCATTCATTCTCATGGCCCTCGACTAACAAGCACACCCCTTTTTCCCACCTGTCTCTGGTTCCTTTTGGTAGAAATACGTTCAACCAATCAGATACAAGAATCATGAGAGGCATTCATGTTGAATCATTTGAGTTCTTGACTTTTGACCATTTACACAAAATGTACCTTAGCCGAGGGAGGTAAGATTTTCATTAAAGCTATTTTTGTAAAGTCGGGTAGAAAAATTGGATTTTAAGATTTCTTATATATTTTTTGGAAGATTCTCTCTAGTTACTTCAGAGTAAATTGCAAGTATCTTAGTTTATTTTTGTGCCAGTAGAGGGCATCAAGTCATATGATAATTCGCCAATTTCATACCCTAAATGTAGCAGATGAGACTTTCATACAGCTTTTTATTTTTTTAAAACTATGTTCATTGAATCGCTATACCTGAGGTTTTTTTGGTACATTTTTGGACGGCTTTTTGTACAAAATGTTCTAAGAATATTTCGTTATTCTATGATGTATGTAAATAATTCAAGTTTGAGTTTTATCAGTCTTTCTTATGGACGGTCACACGAGTGTATTGAAATTTCAACAATTTTCCTAAAGGCTCACCTTCCCTTGATTTGCTGATTGCTGAACACAGGCTTTCAATCCTCCCTAAGACAATCAAATCACTTTAAGAGGATCTTTCCAAGCTGAAGGGTTGAGAATGAATTCGCAGATTTTTAAATATTAGTGCCTTTGCACCAGTTTTTTTATGGTAGTTTTATAGCATTTAGTTTTTTTGTTGCTCTCGTACCAATAAGCATTTTATACGCCTTCCACAGGGTGATCAGAAAGTCTTATCTTCACCACCTCACTAAATTATTTACTCATTGAGCTATTGAGCTGAGCAAGAATTTTGAAAATATCTCCCTAAGGAGGAGCTTTTTATCTTTCCTCCAAATAATATCAACCCTCATCTTGTAATACATCAATAAAAGAAGTACGAGTATTTAAGAAGAAAATTGGCACAAGTTCAAGGTTTCATCTCAAAATGTTACAACTTGATAAATTATGCAGATTTGCTTCCAATTTGATATCTTGGTTTTTTTTGGAGTGCTTAACATCAATTTGATGCTGGTTTTTCAAAATACCCAATTCCATTCTAATAGTGGCCAAAAATTGTGGAAAACCGGTATTTGTTTTCAATAAAAGGCTGTAATCTTGGAAAGGATTGAAGGTTTGGACAAATTGTCTTAATCATAGTTAGCATTTCGAAAAGACCCTCATTCTGCAATTCTGCAACAAACTCATCAAGAATTCGGAAGAACAGTGGTCTCCTGCCACTTTAAAAAGTCATTTTGAAAAGGATTGGGTATTCAAGAAAATTACATGGAAAATAAATTATTTGCTGAATTCCACACTGGGATGTTGAAAATCTACACAACTATTCTAGAATGTTAACATGACAGCTCTAGCTGTTAATGTAATGTTCTGATATGTTGTTGTTCTGAATCAACAACTAAAGCGATTAGTTCCCATCAATATTCCAGGGTTATTGGGGAAGATTATTAAAGTCCCAGGATGGTAGTTCAGTAATTTTATTCCCCATATAGCCTCAAATTCGTGTTAAGCGTTGAAAAAAAAAACAAAAAAAACTTCAATCAATTACGAAACAAATCTGTTTCTCCCCAGTAGGGGGAGTGGTTCCTTTTGACCTAGGAATACTCAAAAGCTCCAGGTCAAGTCCAGTTCCAAAGTTTCACTTCAATAGCTTGACCAGTGAATAAGTCATCATGTTGGTGGGAGACTTTCGGATAGCCCTGTATAAGCTCTCGGCGCTTTGCCCATAATGTACAATACAAAAGCTGTTGCTGATTGAATTTTTAAATTAAATTTTTAAATTTTTATACACAATTTTTGTCTCTGTTTATTTTCTTTCATTTTGGAGTAGAAGTAATTAGGCCGTTTTCCATGGACAATTCTACTGAGTTATGCATCAAGACTTCATATATGTATGATGCAATCAGCCATTCACCTCTGAATATGATTTTAGAAAACTAAGGTCACAAAAGGGGGTCCACACTAGAATTTAAATAACAAGCTGAGATTGTTTTACTTTTTTAACAGAAGAGGAAAGATGGAAGAAATGACGGAAACCAGATTTGAAAATGGCATAAGTGAATATAATAGACTTATCAAAACAGTACAAAACAAGCTAAATTGATAATAATTAAACAAAACAAAATCTATTGAGGATGAGTTTTTATTATCCCAACAATTTTAGAGGTTGTGTGCATAGTAAACTGCTTAGTGACAGATTTTAAGCTTCATTCTGGCTTGTTGCACAGAAAAACTTAAGGTGGGAAAAAAAAGGATTCAGAAGAAAGTACATAAGTCGGCAAAGCAGGTTTTCCAAATGCAGCAATTTTTCCCTGTCCTACAATCCTTCTCTTTTCTAGAGTTGTTCCCTGGCGTATGATACGTCTCCTCACCTGCAGATTTTGTTTCCAGGAAAAAATTATCCTTTTGCATAGCAACTTTCCCAACTAAAAACTTTCAAATACCGTACCCTATCAATAAAATAGGATGTGAAGTTGCGACTATTACTAAATTTTTTATTAAAACATTCGTTAATATAATGTTCAGTTTTTGGATGCGCTCCTGGTGTCAGTTTGTCTCATCACTATTTTTACCATATCTCAATCAGGTGACCATTAGCTAAAGAAAAACATTACATAAGTTGAGGTTTGTGGACGGACAAAACTTGATAGTTTTGAATAAATTTGAAAAGTGGATGTATTCATGGTAAAATGTACTACATACATACAAATGAATTAAATATAAAGGAATTATACAGCACACAAATTCTATGTAGACAGTCCAAATTAATGTAATCAATTCATTACCTTGTTTTTGGGCATAAATGCTTTCAACCTGAAACTTTGCACTTCTTTTGAATAAAAGAGCCGAAGCTTGAATTTTTTTTTGAAAATCTCTGCGGTACAATTTTTTAAACCTTTCAATTGCGTTTTTCTTAATACTTGAGACAAGGGACTTTTCAATAAGATCAAATAAATCACTCAAATAAAAAAGGCTTCAGGTTTTGACCTAATTGCTAATCCAGCAACAATCACTAGTTGCTTTGAAAAAATAGTAATTATTTTCAGAGCACTGATGTACTTCACAAAACAGTGGAAAAACTGAAATGATAGAATAACGTTAAACCTGGTAAGTCAGCATCTTCTTTGGGTTCTGAAACGCCCACTTCACTGTTGCCTATAATAAAAGAATCACTTATTTGAAAAACTGCTCATACCATATTCTAAAGGTAAAGGAGGATAAAAAAACTTATCGTCAAAAGATGATCTGCCTTTTGTGTCAAGTACGGACTCATGAAACATTTGAAAAGGATTTTTCCTCTTGTTGAAAAGACTTTGGAGGAAGGGAAAGCCTTTCAGGTTGATGTCTCTTTTACTTCCTATTAAAGAATTCGCTAGAGCTTTTTGACCTCACAAACTTTTAGTGCTCTGATTTTATTTTGTAAGGAATATGATTTTCTAAGGTTCCATCGAGACAAACGCACTCGTTCAAAAAAGTATGGCGGTTCCGCAATTTCTGCCGAACCAGTTTAAACTTAGACTTAAAATTGGCTTTGGCAGATAACTAAATATAGCAGAGAAACTAGTCAATGCGATCTTTTATAAATAAGAGTTGCTGATGTTGTCTGTCTAGACTGAGCCCCAAAAGTAAAGCGAGTTCTCTATTGACAGTTCTAAGCAGAGCTGGCTATCCTTTTGGTATCTTGTTGTGAGAATAGTTTGGAACTCCAGTTTACTAAGCTTGGATTCTTGCTTGATGAAGGAATTTTGTCAACGTCAAAATACAAAGGAAAGGCTCGATCTTTTTCAGTGATCCCAAACATACTCCGCAAAGCATTATGAGCGGCTATTTCGCAAGCTGTGCTTATAGTTTCACCAGAACCTGCCAGAACAAAAATATTTATAAATTTATTGGTTGCTTCATGGCTGTATAAGTGCTGCTGGTTTTACTTGCATATCAACGATGAAAATAGGAAATACAACACACACACACACCTTGCACTTTGCAGCACAGGGAAGTTCCTGTCATACTACATTTTTGGAATAGAACAAAATTCTGTGTTCTCCTTGGAGGAGCCTTGTTTTTCTTCTGTGTGAGAGCGATATCCTGTAGGAGGTAAGCTCATTCTTTTTTACTTAAAAGGAGAAATTTTGATACACCATGATCAATATGCATGTTTCTCTGGAATCATCATTTACTATACCGGAGTGTTGAGGGGTCATCCAAATTGAGGAGCCTCAGATTTTTATGAACTTTTGCACGGTAATTTTTTCTTTTAAAGACGATTACTATGCTTTATTATACATTGCAATTAACATAGGAGCCATTACCGATCGTCGGCAGAAACACCCAATAAAGAAGGTCAACAATCTTTATGAGGTATGGATTATTCATGGCATAGCACAAAGAGGCAAGTTGGACCCATAGTAAAGTCATAACATTTTCAAACATCAAGAATAAGATGCAAATGGAGAAATTAGTGCTAAAGACAAAATAATAATTTGATTTTCTCTTCGAAACATGATAATGGAGAAATATGGACAGCATTTATCAGAAAGGAACCAACCCACAATTTCGAAAAAATTGAGTTAAGAATATTTTTGAGTTCCACTAGCAGTTTATTTTCTCCTGCCAAAATCTGGAAGTCAAAAAATCAATTATGAAGTTTATGAAAAGAGGGGTTAAAGTTTATTTTCTACATTAGGCCTTATGCAGGAATAAAACTTCAAACCTCTTCTTCTCAGTTTCAACGTAAAGTGGGTTAGATCCTTTCTAATGAACTCGGTCCATATAATTTTGAATTATAATTATTAGAGAATTATAATTTTTTTGGCAAGACTCTCTGCCTTGCAAATTTGCTTCTAATGAACAAAACACGTTGAAAATTAGAGAATTAATAGAACTGGGGAAAGAAAAGAAGAGAGAAAAGTCACATTAGTCTGGATGCATCAATCATCAGTTGGCCCATTGGTTAGCATGTAAATATCTGTTGAATGGTGCAATTTGTGGATGTGACATTTGTCTCTTCTTTTTTTTCCCCAGCTCTAGCACTGAGGCTATTTTCAGTTATAGAAAATTTGCTACTCCTTTTATTTACCACCTGATCTGCAACTCTAGAACTCAAACATGTTAACTTAAAAACCGATTCTTTTCAAGTTCACTTACCAGTTGAGAGTAACTCTTTATTCACGTACAGACCAACACGGAAATTGGCAAACATGGTGTTTTTTGCAGATTCACCGATAAGTCTCGGCTCAGGGTCTGGTCGTCCCTCGTTTTTCAGTATGGTTTTTAAGGGTGTTAGAGGGTCTTCGAGCCACCAGATGCTGCTGACATCTTTTCCAGCCAGTTTTGGCAGAATCAAATCTCTAATGAACAATTTTGCTCTTGACAAACCAGAGCTTCTGGAAACACAGGCAACTACTGCTTTCAGTGTCTTGGCTAGGGTTCCATTTTCAACTGGGTGATCCTGGAAGAGCAAGGTTTCTTCGTTATTATTTTTAAGATTTCACATGCATGATATGAGTAACTTCAGCAAAGGCAACATGATTGTTACGAATGCCCTGGGTGGATATAAAAACTTTTAGGACCCAGAAATGCCTCATAATAAGACTATAGATACTCACTTAAATGATTTTTTGTTTAATCAGTAACTTATCATATACAAACCACTATCCTATTTATACATTGAATACGGTAAGAACTGACATGGAAAAATTATTACAATGTTCATACTGCACTATGACTTCCTCTTCTAGCAAGGTAACACATTTTATTTGCATTAGAACATTTTCTGCTTTTCCAGGGGTTTTTTAATTTTAATTTCCAGACTTTTTAACATTTTTTGGGGATACGATTTTTGATCAAAATTCTTTTCACAAAAAAGATTATGTGCCAAGTCCCTTGGTGTTAGAAAAGTGCGATGTTTTGTTTGGAAGATAAATTTCAAGGCTCTGCAGTAAAATGCCCTCAATTTCCAGGGTTGAGCAAAATTCTCTGACTTTTCAGGAGGTTGTCATCCTGTAAGAGCAAATTGAATGTATTTTTATGCAAGTTTTACTCTTAATTTTTCCGATTCTGCTTTCTTTTCCATATTGCTTATTGCTAGTCAAATTACACCTCTCATTTAAAATAATTGTAGGTACTCACCTTGCACATAATAATTTCTGAGGTTCCTAGTAAATTTGCGATCTCTGCAAGTGTTTCCTCTTCCATCAAATGGTCACGAATTGCACTAAAATATGGAAAAAGAATATGAATAAAAAAAAGGAGTCTCACAAATGAACGCACAAACATTGACAATATCAATAACAAAGCTACAGTCAGTATTTTTTTACAAATATATTGGTCAGCATGGATGAGAAAGTTTAAACAAATTCAGTGGCACCATCATGTCTCTTTTAATAGTTTACATGGAAAGATACGGATGAATTGAGAATAGTCGTTTCATACAAGAACTTCATCGTACACATTAGATGCTATTGCATAGGTCTTAAAAAGTTCACCTTAAAGTGTCAAACAGCTTTGAAATGCATCATTTGGATTGTATTTAGCAGAAGTAAACCAACACGATTAAAATCTTATAACATTGGTGTTTTTCATCTGTATAAATGAAATGACAAGAGTAGCACATATTTTTTTAGTTTATCATAAAAAATTTGCTACTTTTAGAGGAAAATGATAGTAAAAATTTCATTGTGTACGTATATTTAGTAATTTTTAAAGCCTAGAAGAAGTTGCACTGTTTTGAAAACTTTGTAAGTGCGTTGAGTTTTTTTGGCTGGATGCGATCCATTTGACCTATAACCAGAATCTAGATGTCACCAAGGTCATGCTAATCAATACGATGCATACCATGATCTATGTGGTACTTATCAGACAAATTCTTCAATCCTCATTTATAACAATGATTGTATTGATAAAGGAAATTAAAATGAAAAATACTTCTCTTTCTTACCATATTCCTTCTTCTGGTAATCTAGGAAAAGCAACTCTGAGATATGAGATGATGAAATCTGACATCAAATTTTCTCCTTCATTTGCCATTTCTGAGTTATCCTGTCCAAACTTAGGGTCTTCAATTCCGACTGCTTTTAGTTTATCTGTTTCTTGCAGAATGTATGAACGGTCAATTAATGCTTGACGTAGCAAGTCACCATCCAAGTTTTCTCCAAGCCTTTTGCCAAAAGAGTAAACTTCTGAAGCATAGTTCCTGGAACAATTCCAACAAAAGTAGACAATGCCCTTAAAGGAATACCTAAATCAACATTGGAAAACAAATGAAATTGCCTTATAGCAATGATGCAAATTAAATGCAAAGATGAAGATTCAAAGAAATATTTTGCTCTAGGGTCTCAATTTTTTTAACCAAAACATTATACGTCATGTTGTCGGAGTAAGTGACATACTTCAAAGAAATTTTTCTCAATACCTACTGTTGATAATTTGTCTTTCATTCTTGTTGAAATTACTTGCTTAGCGTGCCTTAATATGCCTGCAATGCACTACATTTAAATAGAGTGAAGCAGACAACTTCGAAGATAAAACTTTGAGCCACCTTTACTGCACTTGCCAGGCATACACCATGATACATGCTAAATTTGGTGTCACTTTAACAGGATCTCAAGCACTTGTACCAACCAAAATGCCGCTAGATTTTTCCAAAGTTCTCTCCTGTACTCATTTCAAATATGGATCATCATCTATGCCATTTTTGGTACTAATGCAATGTAACCTTCAGCACTTGTGCTCAGGGGTGCAGAAATTTCTTCTCCTCCACACTGCTGTCTACCTAAGACGTGTGCGGTTCACTGTATCCTTCGCATAAAAGAGTGTGCTAAACTATTTTCTTTGCATAAGAGCGCATTACATAGTGTCCTACGTAAAAAGCTATGCGCTTAGCTGGTTTACGCCTTTTGCCTTCACGTTTTTTTTTTTTTTGGTTCAGGTACCTTCACATTTTTCTGCCCCTTTTCAGCAGCCTTCATACTTGCTCTGCTATTCAGTCAATTGAGCACTTTCTGCACCCCTGCTTGTGCTAGCTGACAATTTAGCACACACACTTCTACAAATGCGATAGGCTGCGTCTTGACAACAGTACCTGAAATCGTTGAATTCATGGTATTCCTAAAACTCTTTAATAATAAGAAACCTGAATTACCATTCAAGATAGGTATTTCGGTGATTAGGGACACGGGGTGGTCCTTTGTAAAAAAAATCCTGCTTATCTTTCCTTCTTTTGAGTACCTGCAACGTAGCGCGCAGCCATCTGTGTGTGTTTCTGCAACTTACTGGAAGAGACAAAGAAGAAAATATTGAGAAAAACAATGATAAAGCAGAACCCAAACATATTGTGAAAAGTTTGTAAAATAGTTTAAAAGTACTTTGCAGACAAAAAAAATTTCAAGGAAATCCGAGTCGGTGGGTTGCATCACTGGATCACTTGCCAAGTATTGACCCCCAAGAAGATTGTAAAGTGCCATAAAAGATCAGCTGTCGTGAGTTTAGCATCGCAATTAAATGCAAGAATAAAATGGAAGATCTTCTGTCACAGACTAAAAGCCAACAAACTCATTTGGTCTGAGCGCTAGAGGTTTCGTCATATAAGTTGACATTTGTTTATATATTACTTCCAATTTGCAGGTGTTTTCGCGTCCCTACTATCCACATGAAAACATCCAACAAGAAGAGAGAACAGAAGCTTGGATAGGTTTTCTAATACTTTCAAACCTTGTAACATTTAAATTTTAAGTCACACAGAAATCACAACCACGAAAAGGTCTCGGTTCATGACTGATAAGTAGTTTTTTTCACGATGCGATCGTGAGGTGGATGTTATTAGGGTGAAATTTAGCAAACGACGCTTGATGCGGAGGCGTAAATTTGTAGCCTACAAATCGAAAGTAAACAAATGTCAATTTATCTGATGACACCTCTATCAGGAGTGAAAATCAGGTTGGATAGCAGAGCTGCCATTCCTTTCAGCTATGCGGACATTCATTCTGAGTACGTATTTATGGGAAGTTCCTACCAAATGTCCTAGAGTATAAACTACCCTTCACAGTTCACCCGGCAGCGGGCCAGTCAATTTAAAATACAATACATAGGTCAGTAGTTCATTACGAAGACCACGATACTTGGAGAGTTTAACAGGAGGAGACTTCACATACCTGCTTGATAGCGGTGTAGCTGAGGAGAAGCTGCAACGATTACTTGCCTAAGAAATATAGACATCGCTTCTACAAATGCTGAACACCGAGAATATTTAATCAAACTATTTTTCCCAAAAATTCAACGATTTCTAAGTTTCCTAATCCTCGTGTCCGATATCCGATCCGACCGATGTGAGGTTAGGTTGTTATTATTATTGTCTGGACTCCGGCAGTGACGTCACAATCAATAGCGTTAATCGGTGAAAGATCTTTTGCCTTCAATTCAGTAAACAGCAATTGTCGTTGCACAAGTCGGCTGGCGTGTGATTTTAACCTATTTTTTTGAAGACAATTTATTCGTACAAGAACATACATCCTTATCCTCAATTAATTAGTTATATTTACTCAGTCAAAATTCTGACAGAGGAGTTGGCACACATGAAACGCCTCCAAAAAGAAGAATATCACGGGTGATGGATCAAAAACACGATTCTTCTTATTTGTCGATTATGAGTTATCTAGAAAATGTATACTAGGGGATACATTTTATCTACCTTCTGGCTGAAAGAATTCTGTAGGTTGCTTAAACACGACAAAGAATGTTAAAGCGTATCCTCGTACCTCGTCTTCGACCTTTTTTTTTTTTTTTTTTTTTTTTTTTTTTTTTTTTTTTGGGGGGGGGGTGTGTTATGCAACATCACGTATCTCGTTTGAGGTGCTTGAAAATCTCTGCTCCTATTTTATGTTTATAAGGGTGAATAAATTTGCATCATTTCCTCAATTTTTCAGAATTTTTTTCGCATAAAGAGGGGAAATCAGGGCGGTGTTTAAGAATTGCCGTTGAATGGTTTTCGCCTGAAAAAATACATTATGACTGGAAGTCTGCAACGCCGCAAACCGAGATATACGTGGTTGCCAGGGCCGGATTTAGGGGGTGGCCACATGGGCCGCGGCCTATGGCGGCAAATTTTGCAATATTTTTAAATGTAGCTATAAAGAAACATCGGAATCAGAAAAAAAAATTACAAACGAGAAAAGGTGACAAAATCTTTCATTTCCTGAGAGTATATTTCTAATTTAGTCGTCTTTCTGTGATACAGTAGACAGCACCTTTATTAGTCGAGTTAAGACTAAAGAGAGAAACCGAACACGGAATTTGGTCTGGAATGGCGCGGCGCAGAGAGCAATGATGACGAGAACTTAAGATGAAACGGAGAAACTCTCGGCGCGGCGCACATTGGTTCCAGAGCCCGATCTAGGCGGCATTAATTAGAATATCACCCTTACCAGCGTGCAACATACGCTTCTATGAGTTTTTTGGGTCGCTGATCACGAATTTAAAGTCGATTTGACCCTATCGTTAACCATAATATGGTAAATGTGCGTAAAATAGCAAATTCGCACTCAACACGGGATTAATAATTTGACAACGTGGCTCTGTGCTTGAACTATGATAATCTTGACAAATTTAATGATTATAGTCATCAAGAGCGATCTACTATTTTACTAATATTTAGACCCTGGTATGACCCTGGTGAATATTTTTGTTGAAGAGGGGGGGGGGGGGT